TTTTTTTTTTTGTTGAAAGCTTTCATTCAAATGGTTCTTGTGACCACACCATGGCACTTGGTACCATAAAAATATGTACCATTCAAAAGGGAATTGAACAAGCTTTCATTTGGCGTTTTTTCTTCATTTATTGCCACAGTAGCTTGATTTCCTACTGAGCTTTCTCAAGTTAAAAATCAGTTCACTTTTTTCTGGCCTACCCTGTATTTTATCCCCATGTAAGATTATTTGAAAATCAGGTTTCTCCAACTAACTTCTCTCTAGAATTTCTTGAGCACATTTTAACCCAGGATCAAATGAATTTTGCTTCAGAAGACCATCAAGAACAGTACTGTATCATGGACCACCTTTAAAAATACTCAACAATGCTAAATACTGCAAATGCAAAGAATGGATTGCGTCATGATATCTGCTGGTTTCTATGAATAGTATTCAACTGAATTCCAAATTTCTGTGAAACCGGGAAAATTTCCGTTCATCTTATCGTCGCCCCCGATCCCGCTTTTTTTTTTTTTGGTCTTGCCATGAGTCATTTCTTCCTTTCCGTGAAATGGCGATTCATTTATACCACAAACCGAATTTTTTATTCTGGGAAGTGATGGGAAGCATATAATGAGTCATATTTTCTACCATAGGACGTACTTCACGTCAAAACAAAAGTACAGTATGAGGAAAAAATAATAAGGGAACTGACTAGAAAATGACGAATTCTCAAAATTGATTCATGAAAGGGCTTTTCTTCCACAAATCTGTAACACATTTGCAAATATATCTCCACTCTGATCATTATTGTATGTATTCCAGGATAAAACATGTAAAAAAAACTGAGAGCACCCAATATAAGAAGAACACTATGGAAAATAATTTTAGAAAACCAAAACAAAAATCAAAATTCAATAATGCTTCAAAAAATCGTAGCTGCAATAGATCCCGTTTATTCCTTATAAGGCTTTTCAAATGGAAAAGGGGTTTTATTATGGAGTTGGCAAATGTTGATTTCTATCCCAAAATCAATATTCCCTCACTTTAACAAAAACTGGCTGTTGGGAATTAATCCCAGCAAAAAAGAAATACAGTGAGACCCTGAGATGCGGACGTAATTGGTGCATAAAGAGTGTCCCCAAATCAAAATGTCTCTTAGTCAAGTGTTATTTTCCCATAGACTTACATTATACAGTATAATTTTTCATTGGTGTTTTGCGGAAGAAATATTCTTCAGAATTCCCTGAAAAAAATGGTTTGCCACTTGAATTTGAATTAGTGAATACATTTTCAACTCAATAAGAACATTTGGAGCATTGAATAGTGTATCTCTGTACTGTACACTGAAATTTTGGCATCTACAAAATTAACATTCAGGTGAAAAAAGTAGAAGTCCCTCTATGCTGGAGGTAATTTTTGTTAATTAGCTAAATGGATGGTGATTTGGTGAGAGAAATGTCCAAGAACTTTTCTTACATAAATTTTAGGGTTGGAAATATCTGTTACTTTTCATTTGGCCTGAAATGTATTTGCAATTTTTTAACAAAATGTCCCTATGTTGAGTCAGTGTCCTCATGCCAGGCCGTATTTATTGATTTTTTCTGGGAAAATAAGTGTCCCTATGTCAAATTGTCTGCAGGGGTCTCACTGTAAAATATTTTCTTGTGTACCAGATATGCAGCATATTGTATTAAAAAACAGCTCTGTTTTATCTCAATTCACTGAAATAAAGGTTGGAAAAATATGTGCACAAATATTTCGATTTTTTCTACTTCTGCTTGAACTTTCTGGATCAAGAATCTTCATGATTGGCAAATTTTCATTCCAAAATCCAAATTCTATTTACTTCAATGAAAACTGGTAGTTAAGAATTGAAACCAAAAAAAGGAATACCTTATTTTCTTGAATACAAAATTTGGGATTGAAAAAAAGATTGGTTCTTCTCCAGATGCGGGAAACGTATCGGTTTTTATTTTATTTTATGAAGCATCACTTATTAAATTCAATAACTTTGAAAAGAAAATATTGAGAATGGAAATTAACTCTCACTTACCGTATTCGTCATTCCTGTGGAACACTGTGCAAAAATGATTTTCCGGGTCAACAACGTCGATCAAGACGCCATAGTTTTCACTGCCAACATCATCATCGCATTTGGGAATTTGTTGTCTGCCATAGTTTGAGATTTGCGCGTATTGGTTCTGGTCCCTGTAATCCGAACACACCCAACACTGCAACTTGGCTTCACCTGGGTATATATATAGAGAAAAAAATGTCCTGCATTTACAGGGTGGGCCAAAAAAAAAGTGAACCGATTTTTGACTTGAAATAGCTTGGTAGGAAATTAAGTTGTGGTAATGAAAAAAACTCCAAATGAAAACTTGTTCAATTCTCTTTCAAATGGTATATGTAGTTTTATGGTCCCAAAAGTGCCATGGAATGGTCACAAAAGAACTATTTGAATGGAAACTTCCACACACAAAAAGTTGTCAGGAAACTTTTTCCACATTTCAAATCTTTTTTTTTTCCTTTTTGGGACTGATGATGATTGGCAAATGTAGATTTCCATCCCAAAATCAAAATCCCCCTCACTTTAATTAAAACTGGCTGTTGATAATCAAACCCAGCAAAAAATAAATACAATATTTTCTTGTGTACCAGATTTGCAGCATATTTTATTTGAAAACAGCTTTATTTTTCTCAGTTCACTGAAATAAAGGTTAGAAAAATGTGTGCACAAATATTTCGATTTTTTCTATTTCTGCTGGAACTTTCTGGATCAAGAATCTTCATGATTGGCAAATTTCCATTCCTAATTCAAAATGTCATTCATTTGAATGAAAACTGTCAGTTAAGGATTGAACCCAAAAAACCTTATTTTCTTGAATACAAAATTTGCAACATGGTTTAAACAACAGCTCAATTCATTGGAATATTGATCAGAAACATATAATTGAAGACATTTTTCATTTTTGGAATTTTTGGAACTATATTGATTGGCAAGTGTAGGCATATTTCCATTCCTTAATCAAAATTCCATTGACTTGAATGGAAACTGGAAGTTGAGAAATGAAATCAAAAAAGGAATTTCTTTATATTTTCTCAAATACCAACGTGATCACCATTTTCGAAAATAAAAAAAAGCTTGTTCGTCATTATTGGCATCAGGTATAACATTTGTAAAATTATTTGATGTACCTCATATATACTTGATTCCAACAGGAATTTTAAACCAATTTATTCAAAAATAAAAAATTCGAATAAAAATTTAAAATTCTACTCAACTGAAATCCAAGTTGAAATTAAAATGCTGATGCTTGTTATTTTCAAAATATTTCAATTTTCAATCTCTATTAAAAATGGGGTGATGCGCAATACTTGCTGAGTGTAAATACCGGTACAGTGTCCATCAAAAATAATACAACCATATTTGTGACTCTGTATTTTGTGCCATAAAATTCAATCTGTATTTCAGTAAAATTAAAAAAGGATGATCTTAAAAAATTCAGAAACGGGTGACTGACAAGCCCTAGAATAAAGATGCATCTTAATTGAATTAGTGCAGCATATGTTCTAGAAATGAAATTTGATTCACACACTGCCCTAATTAACACCCTTATCCCCAGCCAAAATTTGTAAGTCAATCTTTTTTTTATTTTTGAATCATGTATACTGGATTTCTCTCCAATAATGTGAAGACCGCAAAGAAGGCTATTATTTTTTGTTTTGTCTTTCTTCTGTCTTTTAAAGCGAGAGTGGGTTCTTTTTATTTTTTTTTTTGTTGAATTTGCAAACTCAAAATTTTTTTTTCAACTTTAGATAAATGTTGCTCAAGTACAGTACTGTATAAGCCACATCCTCCAACGAAATTTGCTTGCCCAAAGTTCAAGTACAATACTTTCCAGT